CACCATTATTTGTAGATAAAACTGAAACTGCTGTGAAGCATCAAGTTCCAGTTTTTTGATTTGTTGTTTGGAAACATTTTCTCATCATAGATCTTATCAGTGCTGTATCGCAAGTTAGCTTAGTGTTTTATATAAAATTACAAACTATATAAAAAATAGAGAAATCGCAGTATCTCAGAGTTTGAAGAGAATTCAAAGGCCATTATGTTCAAAGTCCTAGCATACCTTTTCATCATTCCCAACCTTTGTCTGAACATCTCAATTGCTACATCTTCCATCTGGGAGTTTGTTGCTTTTGCAACTCTATTGTTTGAAAGTACAAACATATCAAACTGAAACCTGGTGCCTTATTCTTTCTACCCCATGGTTCTAATTCTTCTTTGCACTGTACAAAAGAATGTAAATTTCTTTTTTACATGATAGTTCTCCTAATATTTGAAGATAAATATTATATTTTCCCCTTAAGTCCAATTACTTTTGTATTTTTTTACATTCTTTTTTTCCACCAGACACAATCTTTCCCAAGATATTCAACCTCTATTTTATTTATGCATTAAAAAAAAAAGTTCCTTGGTATAATTGTACCAGGGGAAAGGTGAAGATATAAAATTCAATCTTTTAGATAAAGTAATTAGGGCAATAAGTGACATTGAATTTAAAACTATTACGTTGAAAGGCTCATATTCCACATAGTAAGAATAAAAAGGGAAAGGTATATTGTTCCTCAAGGTCAGAATTTTAGAATTTTGAGCATAAGGTAAAACCAAAAATTTCATATATGAAGAACCCATATATAAAATATTGTCTTCATTCCCTTAAGTATGTTTCTTAATTGTATGCCTATTCTGTTTCAGAATATGTACTCAGCTTTTGGAGGCCCTTAAGATGATCATTATCAGTAAACATACAAATAATTACAAATACACTTATTATGGTAAATTCCATATCTATTTAGAAAACTTTTACTAGAAAAGTAGTATTGCCCATATAAACCATTTGTGAGGCAGCATAACATAGTGTTTAAGAGCACAGACTAGGGGCACCTGGGTGGCTCAGTTGGTTAAGCGACTGCCTTCGGCTCAGGTCATGATCCTGGAGTCCCAGGATCGAGTCCCGCATCGGGCTCCCTGCTCGGCAGGGAGTCTGCTTCTCCCTCTGACCCTCCCCCCCCTCTCATGTGCTCTCTGTCTCTCTCATTCTCTCTGTCTCATAAATAAATAAAATCTTTAAAAAAAAAAAAAAAAAAGAGCACAGACTACTTGGGTTGAATCCTAGATCCACCTTTTACTAGTGACCTCATACAACTTCCTTAACTTGCTATATACCTCAGTTTTCTTATGTGTAAAATAGAAAGAGTAAGAGTACTTACCTCATAGGATAGTTATACTATGTGAACATAAGTAAAACACTAAAAAAGTATTTATTTGCTACATAAATATTTGCTATTATTACCTACAATATAAATATAGCTTTAGCTTAAAAGTAAGTAGATAATGGTTGAATAAATATTGAAAGAATTTTCTCTAGGGAAAAAAATCCAGTAGGATAGAACCTAAAGTATACAATGGTATAGCTGTGGGAAAGGACAAAGAAATAGAGATGACATGCTAAATGTTGATTTTTACCTTGAATTTATCAGAGTGATAATATCTTGAAATCATCTTTCCAGCTCATCATTACAAGCCTACTCTCGTAAAATGAGCAGAGGCTGGCATGCCAGAATACTTCAGTTTTACAAGATATATACTAAGACAATGACAACAAAATATCATTAAATATTTTACAAATATAAAGTTCCAAAAACATATTTATCTAGAGATATAGTTGTAGGAATGAAGTTTTTAGGATATTCCTTTCTTCATTGTCTGGAATCAAGAATGTGAATTCATTTCTCTATAGTAGACCTCCATCTATAAAACAGACTTAATGTTGCTTTTCACACAAAATGTAAAAGATGACAACAAATGGATTTATACCTGTCAAGTCCTCTGAGCTTCTTAGAATGCCATTGTAGAAAAGCAGAATATTTGTGACTTTATGTTATTGCCTACCACAAAAAGAAGTCAGAAAGTGGATTCAGATAACAAAATAAACTATTTGGATTGATTCTAATAATTTTACCAATATTATTTTCTCATGTTGGAACTTGGAAAGAGCATGGCTGATATTAAAGAGTAGAGGACAAAATGCCCAGTGAAGGGAGTAACCATTTTAGATAATCATTAGTAACTGACACACAGGTGACAATTTACAGGAAGATTTCTTTTAAAAATGCTGAGAAGAAGCAGTAAAGCTGTTGGAAGTATGGAGTTTGAAAATGAACTGCTGTCAGTTTCACGAAGATACCAAAGGTCAAGGTAGCAATGTAAAAGAAGCAATTGATAATATTGTGCTGCAAGGACCAATTGATGTAGGAGGACATAAATTATATTTCTTTATGAAGATTAAAGATAGCATTATAGTGCTGGTGTCATTGAGATAATTTGTTTCCCCCTTACCTTCTCCACCCCTTTCCATAACTTTGATTGTAGCATATGATATACTTGTATGTCTTAATCCTTAAGGTGAAACTTCATGTAAGGAAAGGTAAGACAGGTGATTATGAGGTGATTTTGAATAGGGTTTTGCAAATTTTTAAAATACTTTTCTATAAAACATAGGCATTTGAACCAATGAGAAAATAACCATTAGTTTTGAATATTGTCTAAATACAATGGAGTCTTATAATATGTCTCTTGCTTGTGGTGATTCAAGACTACAGTTGTTTAGGAGACCCCATTATAATGAGGTCAGTTTAGCATAACCCCATTGATGAGGTTCAAAAGAGATTCACATCATGCCGATTTCCCACTGATGTTAAACAGGGTATGTTGAATAGGGTATTGGTTAATTATGTGATACTTCAATATGAACTCTCTTTGTGGGCCTTGTTTACTTTCTCATTCCCTTCCTTTTTGCCATTTTTAAGACTTATCTTTACCTATACTGTACCCTATCCCTTAAGATGAGGCTGCTTTTGTAGGGTCGATAGATGAATGAATATTACCACCAGTATTAAATAACATTTAGAGGAATGAGAAGGCTACTTTTATATATACTGAAAGCAAATCCTGGTATAAATGCATCTTCCCTCTTAGGTGTATCTTCGGCGACAGCAACAGTATTAAAAATAATGCTCTAGTTTATCATTGCTTAAACTTTAGTTATTACTCTTTGCCTTCTACGTATAAAATACCTTTGAACAGGGGTCAGCACACTTATTCTTTAGAGGTCCAGACACTAAATACTTTAGGCTTTGTGGGTTCTGTACTCTCTATCATAACTACTCAACTCTGCCAGCCCTCTGGCACAAAAGCCACTGTAAAATGATATAAATGAATGAGCCTCACTGTGCCCCAATAAATATTTATGGATACTGAAATTGGATTTCATATAATTTTCGCATGTCATGAAATATTCTTCTTTTGTTTTTTTTTCAATCATTTAAAAATTTAAAGATCACTTTTAGATTGAAGGCGATGCAAAAAACAGGCAGCAGGCAGGATTTGTCCCCTTGGATATGATTTGCCAACCCCTATTTTGTAATATTCCTACCTTATAGTGTACTAGTATCTCCTCTGTTAATCAAAGGCTCATAGCAAGTGAGCTTTCAGAAGAATGCTCTGAGAATTTAAGACAGAGAAAGGTAATGCACCATAAGAAATTAACACTTCATAGATTCAAATGTATCTTGAGTGCCTGCTGTCTATATATGCCAGGCATTGTTCAAGATGTTGCAGATATAGCAATAAACAAAGAAGTCCAAAGTCCCTGCCTTTATGAAATTTACATTTTAGTGGGTGACACAAATATAGGTAAACAAAAAAAAATGTATATTATTAGAGATGGTGATAAATACTGTGGATAAAAATAAACCAGGGAAGGTGAATAGGTAGTGCAGGCAGGAAGGAGAGTTGTAATTTTTAAAAGGCCATCAAGGAGGGCTTTATTGATAAGGTGACATTTGAGCAAAGACATAAAAGAGGAGAGGGAGCAAGCCATGGATCATGTAGAATCTGTATGCCACCCTTAGTATAATGGAGAGTTTTGAGCAGAGGTACTACATAGTTTGACTTACATTTTAATAGGGAAACAATTTAGGAGGCTATTGAATTAATCCAGGTGAAAAATGATAGTGATTTAGACCAATGATAGAGGTGAAGGTAGTGAGAAATACATTATTTATATATTTTGAAGATAGAAGGTAACAGATAAAATAAGAGAAAGAGAGAAGTCAAGTATAAGACCCAGGATTTTGACTTGAGCAATTGAAAAGATGGAATTGGAGAATACTGTGGAAAGAGTGGGTTTGATGAGGAAGATCAGTTTTAATTTGGTTATGGAAGCAAACTATTTTTAGATATCCAAGTGGAGATGTTAAATTGGCAATTAGACAGATGCATCTGGAGTTCAGAAGAGAAGTCTAAGCTGGAGATACTTTTTTTAAAATCATCAGCATCTTAATAGAATCAAAATCCATGACAATGAGATCATCAAGGTATTTACTAGTATTACTATTTATTTATTGGTATTACTGCCCTTGCTTTTTTTCCTCATCCACTTTCAAAGAGGTAGGTCGTTTCTAGTAACCTATCCCCTCTGCTCACTCACAAATAGCAGGGATCCCACTGAATCAGAAACCTGATCTACACAGGAAGTACCATTAGTTGGCCATCCTCAAATTTTGCCATGGTATAAACATGGGAGTGAGTTTTCCCAAGTACCTCCTTGCTGGAAACTGTTTGCACTGGAGGTAAGTGTGAGAGGGGAGGTTGTGGGAAATGATGGGGTGAGGGCTTCCTAAACCTTTTCCAAACCTCAGAAATTGTTGATTCTGAGGAATGGAGAAGGTTCAGGCTGGTTCTAATTTCTCTGAACCAGTTCATACAGCCCTAAATTTGACCTGCTTTCCTCAAACTGGGAGTCAGAAATCCCTTTTCTCTTCTGTTTTTCTGCTGCAGAAATTCCCAACATTCCCATTTTGTGGGCTCCAGAAAGGGGTAAGCGAAGACTTCAATCCCAGCCAATCATTTCCAGATTAATAATTTTTAGTGTTTTGGTTTTTTTTTTTTTTTTTTATCATCATAAAGAATGCTTGGACCCATTTTTCCCATCCATTTAATTTCCTTGTGGATTGTTATGTATCTATGTTCTAGGATCATTCTGTATCCCTGGGCAATAGAGTTCAGATTCATCTGCTATTTCCATTTGTGTGCTATTCTCTTGTGGATTCTCATATGCAGTTTATTGATGACTGTTTCCTAGATGAAAGAAACCCAATTCAGGAGACTGCTTTATTCTCGATTTCATCTTTTCCTGAATGGTGTTTTTGTTCCCCTGCTGACAGCTTTTTCCTACCCTACACAACTGCTTCTGATGATCTGTCATTGCTTCTCTGCTGTTCTGTCTTACTGCTTTGACTGCCTTTGATTTTTGCCTCTACTCTTCGCCCCACTTTATGCATTTGCTGAATGATTTGCATTCTTCACTTACTGGTACTTTGTCTATCAGCAAATGGCCTGATACTGCCATATCCATCAGCTATTTTAGCATTTTAAACTACCCAGCCCTGTTTATCTGCTCTCCTACCATTTATATCATGGCCTTCCAAGTGCTATGCCATCTGCCTGCTTGATCTTGCCCTGCCCAATCTATGCCTGTAATATTATAAGTAAGTTCAGATTGTTTAGCACTTTTCCTACCTATCTCCACTTGTCTTATGCCACTAAGTTGGACTGCTAACTGAGTTTGCTTGACTACTGTCTCCTTTACCTATTTGCTGCACATGGCTGCTCCATTAATTAACTTGAGACATTGCATTCATCTCCTTCGTACTCAGCCTTGCAACTTGCTGATCGGCTCATATTGCCTCCTTTATACTTTTCTGCATCTGGTAAATCACTGGCATTGTTCCTCTGTTGTCTTGTAACTCTGATCAGATTTTATTTCCAAGAAAAGTGTTGCCTACGTATTGTCCAAACATACCTTAGAAATAGGAAAATGCTTCACTATTTAACAACAGTCCAGTCCAGTTTACTCCTAAACTGACTTTTAAACTATCACCCATCCTTTCTGCTTTTTTAAACAACTTCACATTCTTCCCTTTATTTAGCAATAGATTTTTTTCAAATAATTTATCATCTTTGCTTCAGTTGACCTTTCACGTCATCTATTACATACTTTTGTTTCTTGTATATGGGATCTTTCAATGATTTTCCATATATTAAATTTATTTCCTAATTTATTTTCCATGTTCCAGGGCTTCATGAGGATGAGTTACACCTATTAATATTATCCTTTTTAGTAAGACTGGAAGAATTTTTTAAAACTTAAAGTTTCATCTCAAAAAAATAATAAATTTAGTTATAGTTCTTTGTGGTTAGATTAAAGTAGCTTTCCACCCTGCTCCATTTTTCCTTTGAGAATATCATTTCTCAGCCACCCCATAATTTATGTAATATCAGTTCTTTAGAGATCCTTTTGATATATTTATCTTTCCCTCCTTTTAGACTATATTTTCTTGTGTGTGGGTAAACTTTAAATTGACATTTTCCCATTATTTGCTAAGTATTTGACATCTAAAAAGAACTTGGAATACAAAATTATTTGCTATAAGCTTGATGTCTTATTTACTTACATTTAAATGAAAAACAAGATCAAACAAGAAGTGAAGAATTTTGGTGAAACTTGCAAACAATTTCAAAAGTCTAAGGAAATTGAAAGTGGGGTATGTATGTGTGTATGCAAGTGTGTGTGCGTGTGTGTATGTGTGTATAGATTTGAAGTGTTCTTTGTGTGTACTTTTGAGGTGTACTTTGTGTGTATGTATCCACAACATCATTGTGCTTAAGTGTGGAAGATTCTGAGTATCCATACTAAATTTTATTTTATTTTTATGAAAATGAAATGGAAAAGGAAAAGGAAAAAGCTAAAAAGAGAATGGTAAATTTAGGGAATATAGAAAAAGGGTATGGACATTTTTTTTCCTTTTCCTTTAATAATAGAGATAAAATTAGTATGAAGAAAAAGGCTGCTGTAGAAAAGTCAAGAAAATAATTTCAGTAGCTTTTTATTTTTTTTATTGTGGTAAAATAAACATAACATAAAATTTACTGTTTTAACCATTTTAAGTATACAGTTCAGTGGCATTAGTACATTTTGTACAACCATTACCACTATCTGTTGCCCAAACTTTTTCATCATGCAAAACAGAAACTCGGTACCCATTAAACAGTAATCCCCCATACCTCTTTCCCCCACCCCCTGGTAACTTTTGTTTTAGTATCTGTCTAAGAATTTGCCTATTCTAGGATTTGCCCCATATAAAGTAGAATCATACAATTTTTGGCCTTCTGTGTTTGACTTATTTCACTTAACATAGTATTTTCAAGGTTCATCCATGTGGTAGCATATATCAGAATTTTCTTCCTTTTTAAGACTAATATTCCATTTATGTGTATACTACAATTTGTTTATCCATTCATCTGTTGATAGACAACACTTAAGTTGTTTCCATTTTTATGGCTATTATGAATAATACTGCCATTAGCATTGGTGTGCAAGGGTCTGTTTTTCTTTCCATTCTTTGGGTATTTATGTAGAAGTGAACTCCACAGCTTTTAATATTCTTGTCTAAGAGGAAATTAAAGACCTCAGGGGAACTATATAAGTAACATGAAAGATGGTTAAGTCCAAGATACTGTATTAGGAACAGAAGAAATTATAAACTTTTAGGAAGACACAGAAGACCAAGTGAGATTTGGAAGACCTTACATTTCTAAGAATGAAAGGGAGAATGAAATTGGACAGATGATTCATGTTTGAAGGACAGCAAAGATGATTCTGAAGGACATTGAATTAAAAATATACCAATTTTAGGACAGATGATGGCAAGTCTTTGGGATGAAATAATCCAGACTTTTAAAGAAGTAAGCATTTGAAAGGCAAGGTTTAAATGAAGATAATGGGATTAAGATGAGGCAACTAGGTTATATGTTCATAGGAGCCAGCAACACTAATAGGAATTCAATTTTAAATTCACTGGTACTCAATTCTGGATACCTAGTTTTCTACCTATAGAGATTTTTCTAAAAAGATGCCTTTGACCCAACCCCCAGAGATTCTAGCTCAGTAGGTTGGAGATATGGTTTAGGCAATGTGTGTATGCATGTGTGTGTGTTTTAATCCACTGGTAAAACACAATGTAAGTTAAATTGAACTCTATACCGTAGTATCCTAGACCTTACAGGGTTACAAAAGTTGGGAAGAATTGGTCTTGTCTTTAAGGAGTTTAAAACTGAAGTAGTTAAATATGCAATAAAAATGGATTTAGGAAAGAAGACTTTCAATCCGTTAGGTGATAATGTTTTCACTTGTTAACAATTTTTTGGTGATTTTACATACTGTGTCTAGCTTTTCTCAGCCAAGATTTCTCATCTAAACTATCAAACACAAAAAAATGATTTGAGGGGTTTCTCAGTTCTCCCGAGTGGTACATAAACTAGTACTATTCTATATGCATAGGAGAGAAGTTAATTCATAATTTCCAATAATTTTCTCAGAATCTGTTTTTAAAAGGCTTGTTCTGTGCTAGGTAGTCTGTTAGGAGTATGTAACACAAAGATAAGGCCTTGTTCTCAAGAAGCTTACATTCCAAAAGAGGGGAAAAGACATTTAACCAAAAAAAAAAAAAATGCATTTCTAGTATCATTTCAAAATTTTGTTATTTTCTTCTAGTTCTTCAGAGAAAATATTCAAAGTCAGGATAATTGTGTATAAGGAAATCCTTTCACTTCTTCTAAGCTTCAGTGATTCAGGAGTAAGAATGCCTTCTATAATTAATGCCTCATCACAACTGAAGGATTCTGCTAATAGTTTAAATGCCAATAAGGATCTCTTTAATTTTGAAACCTGGAGCATTCAGTGACAATTAGTGATTTCTTTGGTAGCTGTTAATAAATAGCATTATCTAAACCCAATGTTATTAATTTTATAGTGGAAAAGTAGAGAATGACTAGAAAAAAATTGATAACTAATGTTCAGGAGGTTGTTCTTGAATGTTATTGCAAGCACAATGAGGTATTCTCCTCTTGGGCGTATAGCTACATACCAGTATTGAAAATGTTTGAGAATTTAATTCATTCTCACTGTCAACTAAAACTCACTTGAATTCCTGGTATCAGAAGTTTCAGTTATATTCATTAGTTTTTATTATGAATTTGATTAATTAGCCATTTGAATGAGGAATTTATTTGTCCTCCCCAGATTGATGGGTGCCATCAAACTTGAGAGCAGTAAGCTTCATTCCCATTGGCTCACTAATTCACAATGATTGCTTTAAGGAAATCTCTTTAAAGTGCTTATACCTAAGATAAGTTTTAGTAACCTGTTTTTTCCTCCCATCTCCTGATGTCCTACTAAAGTTACTTATTTTGTCAGCACAGGTGAGGGAAGATCAAAGTTCTCATGTCAGGAGAGAAGGACCAAAATAGAAATTACATCCAGATTTAACTTGTTTTCTTAAAAAAGTGAATAATTTTAAAAGATTTTGCTTCACTTGTATTTATTCTGGGAAACATTTTTAGTGCAAAATAAAGATTACACAAATTTTAAGGTATAAGATCTGGGATAAAGGAAAATATAAGTAACATTTTATTAGTAATAAATATACTTTTCCTTGTCTTGTGATCTCTGAAATCCTGTTTTTATTTTAAGGAAAACTAAACTGAAAATAATGTTATATAATGTGTTTCTTTTTTGTGAAAGTTAACTTGAAAAGGCAATTTTCCTATCACACCCTTATTACGACTCAAGTCTGTTTTACATTTAGTAACAAGAAAATCCCCTAAATTTCCTTGCTATTAAGAGATTCTTTGTAGACAACTACCCCTAATGAACAAGTTGTCATTCTTTCCTGAAGACAGTGGGGCAAATTTAGGACCTTGCAAAGGAAGATATAGCTTCTTTACATAAACATTTTATGGAAGTAGTTTTACTCTTT